AATGTAGGCCTATCACATAAATGAAAGGATTGATTGATGAATTTAAGAATTGAAATTGGAAGGACAAAGAGATAACCAAACTTAGAAAAGAGATGTCGGTGCAATCCAAACCGGAACACTGTTTTGTAATTGGGTCATATCTGGAGTTGTAGATCTTAGATTTAGGTTTACTTTATATGGATGGAAAAGTAAGACATAGATTACAATTTTCATATGAAGCCAAAGATTTAAAAAGGTCATTTTCAAGTTCAAATTGGAGCAACAACAAAGAAGTCTGAATCTGTCTTGCAACCCGAGCACTGTTCAGTATTTGGCCCATATCTAGAGTTTTAGAAGTCGAAATAAGCTAAATTTTTTACACACAAAAGTTGAGACAATTTCTTACAACTTTTATGTGTCAAGTGGCTCCAATTTTGATGTTATCAATGACTTTTTAGGCAGACAAGGATTGTTACCAAGTCAAGAGTTAATCACCTACTCATCAATTAGTCATCAAATCAATAGTTCCCAATTTTGGCCTACAAAAGGAGGAATTTGCCATGCATTTAGGCATCTTGGTTTCCAGATCAAGATCATGCTCTTCCTTTCTCTCTTTGTATTTTTTGTAATGTTTATGCTTTGCTTTCATTAATATCAAGTTTATGCCTTCCATTTCCTTTCCTTTACTTAGTTAACTCTTATCTTCCTTTCTTTCATTGTGTCTAGCTAAGTTTATTATGTCAAGGTGAAAAGGCTACATTAATGGTGTAAGGATAAGTATAATGTAAACTTAATATGGACTTTAATGTTTGATACTAACATGTTTTATATTTGTTCTCTTGTTCACTCTTTAATACTTTGCATGTTAAATGACTAATTTTGATTTATGTTGTATAACACTTGGTACAACAAATACTTGGCACTTTCATAGTTCATACTATATGGTATAGCCGACACTTGAGCTATGAAAGGAACTTGATTTGTTGTTAACATAAATTATAATCATGAATGCTTGATGAGATTTACAAGTATTCGCATTAATTGAATAAGATGACTAATGTAATCATGTTAACAATTTATAATCTGATTGGAACCTCCTTTGTGTGTGGTTTCCAATTGAATAATAAGAGTTTATACTATACTTGTTTGACATACCATTAGTAAAATGTCTAACCTTGACATTTGTTATTATCATTGTTTAATCCTTACATTAATATTCCATCTTAAAGTTCTCATCTTCATCTTCATCTTCTTCTTCTTCTTTTTCATTATTATTATTATTATTGTTGTTGTTGTTGTTGTTATTTATAATTTGTACAATTAACCTCCCTGTGGTTCGACCTCGGTCTTGCTGGGTTATTTATTACTTCGAAACTCCTGCATTTGGGAGAAGATATCAATCTTTTCATTGTGTCACTACCATTAAATAAATGACCTCTATTAAATATAGGTTGAATTTTGAATCCCTACAACTACTAGAAGGGGATTTGCCTAAGACTAGATATTAGTAAATTGTCATCTATAAAAAAATATGAGTTGCTCTGAAAATAACTTAAAGAAACTCATTTCACATATGAAAAGCATCCATGAGGATGATATTTTTTTTAATATGGTAGGATGGTGGAAATTACAAAGGCGTTCGTGTAGAATTTAGTAATTAAAGCCTTGATGTATTTTTTGGAGCACCGGTGCTTCACTTTTAAGAATATTCATATGCGCCTTACTTTATAAGAATATAGTTTACTAACTGAATACTCTCGAAATCTATACAAAGTCTTCTTCCACCAAAGATGCAATAAAGTTCTAACTGAATTAGCTGAATTAATCAAAGTTTCAGATCTCTATAAGATATTAGAGAAAAGTGTTATAGGCCTACAATGGAAGATGATTAAAAATGTATTTGAAAAGAGAAAGAATGACTTTATATTTGTTGAAGAAAAGGGCATAATACTTGATTTAGGAATCTTCATGTTGGTGTTATTTCCAAACCTCATTAGAATAATCAGTTTAGAGGCAGCTACATCTTTTGTTACATATGAAAACACTTAGATAAATGCCATTGCGATAATACTCGTAAAAAAAATCTTAACACTTAACCATTGCAGGAGGGTTGTTATACATGTGGCGATTAGTCATATAAAAACTAAAAGACCGATATTTAAAGTTAAAAACCATTAGAGATAGTTAAAGAAGAAGAAAAGTGAGAAAAATTAGAAAGTAAAACTATAAGGAATCCTACAATGAGAAGTGAAGTGGAAAGCCTCATGGATGAGAGCAACAAACTGCTTGATGAGTTATGGGCAAAGACTATGGGTTCCTTTAATAGGAGTAATTGGATATATTAATTATACATATGCTTTGGTTGTGAGGCAACTTAAAGGCCTATAAAATATACCAAAGATAGTCAGGTTATTCTGAAAAACATCAAGCATAACTAGTGACCATCCCCATGAATAGTTATTCAAGGATCAATCTATTTTAGAAATTAAGAAAAAATTAAGCACGACTGAAAGCTTCTAGAATTGGTCAAGAAGGAATCAAATGGCTAAGAGATCTAGCTAATACTAAAAAGTATTAAAGGTGGAGAAATTTATCACTAGTCATCATACCCGTGACTCTTGGATTTGAACTTGAGAATTTACAGGCTATTAAATCATCTAAAAAACAAAGGACTAACAACGAGGAAGAGTTGAAAGAACAACTAAAAAACCCCCAAATGGAGGTGAGTATCGGTAAAACCCTTAGGATATCCCT